TTCTTATGTTAATCCCCATACATTACATCATTAGTTCTAGATGAAGTGTTCCATGATTCATTGTTTGTGCATAACACCCAGTGCTCCATGCAGTTAAAATCTTTTTTAATGTTCTAGGAGAACCTTGTAGAAAATACAGAAAAGTATAAAGAATAAAATGTCATCCAAGGGCTTGGGCGCCTGGGTGGCTCAGTTGGTTAAGCGACTGCCTTCGACTCAGGTCATGATCCCAGAGTCCTGGGATCAAGTCCCACATCGGGCTCCCCCTTCTCTGTTGGGAGCCTGCTTCTCCCTCTGCCTCTGCCTGCCACTCCCCCTGCTTGTGTTCACTCTGTCTCTCTCTCTATGTCAAATAATAAAATCTTTAAAAAAAAAAAAAAGTCATCCATGATCCCACTACCTAAAAATTCCTGTATTTGTTAAAATAAAGATTATTTTATTTTCCAGATTAGCTTTATTTGCTCACCGTGAAGATGGACCTGGAATCCCAGCAGATATTAAACTTTTTGACATATTTTCACAGCAGGTGGCTACAGTAATACAGGTTTGTATGGCTTTTCTCCTAAGTTCTCAGAACTTTGAAACTTCTCAGCTGGTAGATCCTTTTGTGATTGTTAAAAATAAATTCTGTGGTTTTCTCAACATTTCAGTCTAGACAAGATATGCCTTCAGAGGATGTTGTATCTTTACAAGTCTCTCTCATTAATCTCGCTATGAAGTGTTACCCTGATCGTGTGGACTATGTTGACAAAGTTCTAGAAACTACAGTGGAAATATTTAATAAGCTCAACCTTGAACAGTAAGTCAAAGTTACATTTTTATAAAAACCCTCATAAAGCACTCTTTTTAATCCTAGATTTGTTTTTCTTAATTGCTTTTTGAAATGTTAGCATTTGTTTTAAGCATTTGTTAGATTGATATGCTTGGTGTTAATCAGCGCAGAAAGTAGCATCCAATTTCTTGGTTGTGTACATTGATCAAGTCGTGGCACTCATGGACTATAAGTAGTCTTTGTGGACCAGAGTCTCTCCATTTCAAACCCCTTTGATATATGAATGAGTTTTCATACTGGTAAGGAAATTAAGAGTTGACCTTGGAACAGTGTTACAGGGGTTGGGGCACTGACCTTCCGTGCAATTGAGAAACTGCTTATAACTTTTAATTCCCTGAAACTTAACTACTCATAACCTACTGTTGACCAGAAGCCTTACCGGTAACACAGTTAATTAACACATATTTTATACATTCTACATAGTATATACTGTATTCTTACAATTAAGTAAGCTAGAGAAAAATGTTATTTAAAAAATTACAGGAAGAGAAAATACATTTTATTGTACTGTATTTGTAGAAAAACATCCATGTGTAAGTCGGCCTGCACAATTCAAATCCATGTTCGTGGGTCAACTGTGTTTATATTAAGCAGTGTTGCTGTAGGAAGTGGTTTCCTAGAGATGAATAAGTTGTAAAAAGTTAGGAGCATATGTATATTTAAGGCGTGGAAATTAAATTGTTTAAAAATATTTTTCTGTTTTGTGCTTTGATTTTGATACCATCAAAGTATTTTGTTGCCTAGCTGGGAGCCTCAACTGTGCTGTCCTAGTCTGTGGCATCCTCTAGTGGCCACTGTGTGCAATTCTGATCCCTTTACCTTTTCCCCGGCAGTCCCCTTACAGTCCTGTCCTGCACTGCATCTGAACATGGGGTCAAGCCAGCCCCTCTCCCCTTACCCTTATTATTCATAATTTTACCTCATATAATCTTTTTCTTTTTCATCTCCCTTCTTGTGGTTTAGCCGCATCAGGAAGATTTCTTATTTTCCTTTACCTCTTTTTATTCACCATCGCCCCTTCTTTTAGTTACTTCCACTTTTGTGAACTGAAAAACATTCCAGATTTGAGAGAAAATTAAATTATGTATCTGTATCTTCCCCCACCAAGTAAGTTTTAAAGTAAAATTAGACAAAGAATTAGAAATCCCAACCTGTATAGGTCTTATAAATACCCCAGGTATGCCTCATCTCCACAGAATGCTCCTATAGGCTACCTTAAATTCTGCCTGCTTTTCCTTGATCACCAACATCTGATGGAGAAGAAGCAGGGTTTTTTTTCTATTTTGTGGAGTTGCTAGCTTTGCACAGATTTTTTTTCTCTCTACTTATTTTCATCATGAATATACAGTATTTATTGGCTGTCTAGGAACTTAACGACCACTTAAAATACTTTCCTAAAAATGTCAAATGCTAGACAGTCATTTTACCTCCAGCTGTACAACCTTTTCGATGTTGTTACATCTTATTTTGTATTAATAGAACATTAAGAGATGAGTACATGTTTGTATTTAACTAGGCATCTTTATCTTCTCAGAAAGAGGTCATTGGAGTATTTTGAGATGGTGTAATCCACCTGACCTATTTCCTTTAATGTACAAATGAAAATTTTCAAGTTTTTATGCAATTAGTGTATTTGTATATGTAGAAAGTTAATTTTACTCATTAAAGGGCTGTTGTTTTTCTTTTTGTAGTATTGCTACCAGTAGTGCAGTTTCAAAGGAGCTCACCAGACTTCTGAAGATACCTGTTGACACTTACAACAACATTTTAACAGTCTTGAAATTAAAACATTTTCACCCACTTTTTGAGTACTTTGACTATGAGTCCAGAAAGAGCATGAGTTGTTACGTGCTTAGTAATGTTCTGGATTATAACACAGAAATTGTTTCTCAAGACCAGGTAAGAGCATACCAACATGCTATATATATTAGGAAAACAGAGACAACGTAGTAATGATGTTAGATCTTGAGACTCACACATGAAATGGGAGAAGAGGGTAATTTAATACTAAAAAAAGGTTACAATGAGCTTATTCATCATTACTCTAAATTAGAAATTAGAGGTTTATAAAGAAGAAATTATAAAACTATAATCCCACCAGAAAGAGAATAACTGCTATTAATTAATTTTTGGTGCATCTCTTTCCAGACTCTTATCTATATGTGTATCAGCATACATAAACTTTCTTAAAATAAAAGGAATTATGTTGTTAATACTGTTTGGTAACTTTACACAGCTGGAAACACTTTTGACAGTGACTTTATATGCTGATGGTTTCACTTCAGTGGGTTTCTGCATCTCTCATGTTACAGGTGGATTCCATAATGAATTTGGTATCCACACTGATTCAGGATCAGCCAGATCAGCCCATAGAAGACCCTGATCCTGAAGACTTTGCTGATGAGCAGAGCCTTGTGGGCAGATTCATTCATCTTCTGCGGTCTGAGGACCCTGACCAGCAGTACTTGGTATGAGTTAACTAAGTTATCATACACCTTCAAAGCTCCTAGTGAAATCCCATGTAGATGTGCCTCAAATGGTCTGATGCAGCTGTGGTCTTAGAAGGTTTTGAAAAAATTGCATCTGAATAAGAGATTAAGTGACATTCATGGACTTTCACTTTATATAGAAAAGCATAATTGTGAGCTTATGGGAAACAAGTTAGTTGCTCTAGTTTCTTTGAAGACTTCTTAAGAATTGCAGAAAACCTGTATTCCTTTATTGGGTGTTTAGTACTCATTCCATGTTCATTTTCTTTTTGAACTATGCTGCTGCTTTTAGAATTGTCCAGTTGTTTATCATAATAAAATTTAAAGTATAAGCAACAATCCTTATCTTCAGTTGTATTTATGTTTCCAAGGTTTGAAAATATAAGTTGTATGTGTTTGTCACATTGAAAATATGTGAAAAGACTTTAAAATTCAAATTGTCTTTTTTTTAACACCTTTTTCATGGCAAAGAACAATCAGTTAAGGTTTTCCCTTTCTTTATCATTAGTCTCAATAAATCTTTGTGAAATGAATAACATGTTGCCTGAGTAGGAATGTTGGTGACTGATCTGGATGATTTATTTTAATGAAAGGTAGCACAGATGGCAGTCTAATTATTCTTTGGGCAAAGTGTAGTTTAACTGTTGTTGGATTCATAGGCTGTTAGACTGATATAATGAGGAACATTTTTATTTGAGGTTGAGTCCTGACTTTCTCCTTCTGGTGACTTCCTTTGTTATAGTTGACACTCTTGTACTCCTTCATAAGCAGGGTGAAAAAGAAGCTGACTTATGTTGGCAGTGTGATAGTCTTTGCCTTGCCTTACTGATAAACATTCTGGGCACTCTGGTGTCACACTTGGTGCACTGTGTGTGATCTGTACACAGTGACTGGCTTATTGTTCAAATATTTTAACTGATTCCCTTCCGTTTCTGTGTCTCACATAACACACATGCCTACATGTGTTTTCTTTTTTTGTTGCAGTCCTAATGTATTAGTAGGAAGTATGCCTTCCACATGTAGCCAATTGATTATATCTATGCACCGAGAGACCTTTAAGGGAGAATCATTAGCTCTCATTTCCCCAAGGGGGAATGCATTCTCTTATCTGTCTATTATATCAGAGAAATTCACAAAACCTGAATATGTCACACATTGTGTCACACATATTAAAAAGTATTTCATGAATTCTTGTGGTTTTTCTTAAACAACCTGATGTTTATTTCAGAGTGGCTCTTTTAAAGTATATTGCCATTTCCTTTTACTTTAATGGTCTTTTTTCCCTGAATCAGGAGGTAAGACATACCATCAATACGGACATAGCTGCTTTGCATCCTAGTAATAGCCAGCATTTTCTGAGCCCTTGCACCCTTGCCTTGTGTCAGGTACTGGTAACTCTTCACATGTATTACTTGATCTTCCCAACAAGAACAACCACCACCACTGCATTTTTCAAATGAAACTTTTATAGCTAAGAGAAGGTAAATAATTTGCTCAGGGTCACTCAGGTAGTAGGTGTTAGAATCTACTTTTAAATATAAGTCTGTCTTCAGAGCCTGCAGTCTTTATCAGCATAGCAGACTTTGTACATGTGTGTGTGGAAATATGTTAATATCTGTCTCTGACCCTGACTAGTTGTGTTACCTTGGGCACATTATGCAGCCTCTTTGAACCTCAGCCTTCTTCATTTTTGAAATGGGGTTACTCTCTGTCTTGGTTGTGATGTCGATTATATTGACTCTGTGAGATAATGTAAAGCATCTACTATAAAGCCTGGTACATCAGATGTAGTCAAAAATGGTAGCCATGGGGGCGCCTGGGTGGCTCAGTCGGTTAAGCGTCTGCCTTCGGCTCAGGTCATGATCCCAGGGTCCTGGGATCGAGCCCCGCATCGGGCTCCCTGCTCCGCGGGAAGCCTGCTTCTCCCTCTCCCACTCCCCCTACTTGTGTTCCCTCTCTCGCTGTGTCTCTCTCTGTCAAATAAATAAATAAAATCTTTAAAAAAAAAATGGTAGCCATGACCATGATTAGAGCCCTCATTTAATTTTATAAATGATTAATCATAGTGCAGGAAAGATTAATGTTTTGGGGGGATTTTTTTTTTTTTGTCAGATTTTAAACACAGCACGAAAACATTTTGGAGCTGGTGGAAATCAGCGGATTCGCTTCACACTGCCACCCTTGGTGTTTGCAGCTTACCAGCTGGCATTTCGCTACAAAGAGAATTCTAAAGTGGTGGGTTTACTTTTAAGTATGTCACTACTTTTTTCCTTCTCTGTGTGTGTTCTTTATTATAGAAAATTTCAAACATATACAAAAATAGACAATGGTATTGCATATACTAGCTAAGGGATCACATAAAAACACTTAGAAATGAAAGATTAAAACAGTTCAGATTTATGCCAAAAGTTTTCCTGTATTTAAAGATTACTTGAGGGGCACCTGGATGGCTCAGATGGTTGGGCCTTCGGCTCAGGTCATGATCTCGGGTCCTGGAATCGAGCCCTATGTCAGGGAGGGAGTGTGGAGCGGGGAGTCTGCTTCTCCCTCTCCCTCTCCCCTGATCATACGTGTACTCGTTCTTTCTGTGTCTCAAATGAATAAATTTTTTAAAATCTTAAAAAAAAATAAAGATTACTTGTGAGACATTGATAAGTTTATGACAAAATTGGCTCAGAGTGCTTTAGTTTAAGAATGATTTTACTTTCTTAGAGTCTTTACCAATTCTAAAGTGATACAGTAATTTCATGTAGAGGTTGCAAGTACATAACAGGTGAGATCTAATTCAGGGTAGTTTTGCCTCATGAAGGGGCCTAGCATTGCATTATAACCTCTCTCTAAAAGCCTGAAAACGAATAATTTTATGAATTGTGTATATTTTTTATGCACTTATTCCTTAAGCAGAATCATGACTTAAATCTTCAATAGTTTTATAGAAAATACTTTAATCTGATGTACCTGAAAGTTGGACAGTCAGGTTAGTGTTAACAAATAAACCTCAGTGAACTTACTTTTCCAGTAGTGGAGAAACAAGATTTATTCAGTATACCTGCCAGCCTGACATAGCAGCTTTTGGCCAGTTTTTATTATGACACCTGCTCTTTTAGTCCCTTTTCCAGCATTCTGTGTATAGATTTTGGTGAATGTAACAATGGAAATAGCAACTAGCATTCACTATGTGGCATATAGTATGCCAAAGACTATCTATATACTTGGATTATTGCATTTAATCCTTGTAGCAAGTCTATGATGATTACCGTCTTTTAAAAATGTAAAGAACTGATTGCTTTAATAGAAATTTGGATGGTCAAACATGGATAAAATATTTAACCTCACTAGTAATTACAACAGTGAACCTCTGTTTTAGAAATCAAACTGGTAAAGAGAAAAAAAAAAGGTTTGCGATGGCAGTGGTGTAATGAGAATTCATTCTCATCTAGTAATGATGGGCATGTAAAATACTACAGTCTTTCTAAAAAACAGGCAGTATGTAAGTAGGGCCTTGAAAGAACTAATAATTCCACTTCTAAGAATTTATACTGAGGAAATAATGAGGGATTCAGTAAAACTTCGTGTGTATAGAGCATTAGCATTCATTGTGGCATTGCAGATTATGTCCAAAAGGAAATAGTGAAGTAAATTATGCTACATCCAGTGTGTGGAATATTTTCTAGTCATTAAAGTGATTTCCAGTAGCTTAGTATCATGAGGAAAATTGTTATGACAAAATAAGTGAAGGAAAAGAAGTCTGATGCAAGTAATATGCAGCATGAACCCATTTTAACTCTTCTGGTGAGTTACTATAAAGTAGAAAACAAAACCAGACTAGAGATCCCAGTTCATCGCGTTTGCATAGGAAAAAAGAAGGTGTTAACATCAGAATGTTATTAGTGATTATTGCTGGGTGGTAGATTTAGGGATGATTTCAGGTTTTAAAATTCATTTATTTTCCTACTTCTGTCCAGTTGGGGTGTGTGTTGATTTTCTGATGAGAAAAAACAAAATGCCAAATATACAAAAATTACAAAGCCAGTAACCACAAAAGGATGTTTTGAGAAGATACTATGCCTGATTCACTTGTGTGCTTCATAAATGAGACGGAGGAGGAGGACGATAACAGGAGAACCTTGAGCTCAGCTTTCCTGCTTTCCCTGTTTGTTCTATAGAAGTTTCATATAAAATGAATATTCTTGAGCAAGTTAATCTTGAAAGTAAGGTAATTTAAACTATTTTTTCTCTTTTAGGATGACAAATGGGAAAAGAAATGCCAGAAGATTTTTTCATTTGCTCACCAGACTATCAGTGCTTTGATCAAAGCAGAGCTGGCAGAATTACCCTTAAGACTTTTTCTTCAAGGGGCTCTAGCTGCTGGAGAAATTGGTTTTGAAAATCATGAAACAGTAGCATACGAATTTATGTCCCAGGTGATGGTCTTTTCTCCTTTCTGTGTTTAATCAGTTTTGCTATGTGCAGTCACCTGTTGTAGTTATGGTGGTGGTGCACATGGATTTTTCTCTTCACTGAATTTGTGACTACCCCTTTCCCACCATCTTGGAACTCCTTCTTAATACTATAGTCACATTGATTGGTTTGGAGCAGGAAGATGGATCAGTTACTAGGTGCTATAATGAGATTTAAGATTTCCAGGTGGGTCTTGGTCTAAGTGTTTCATGGAGTGAAAAGTTCCTTTATTAATTCAGTTTGAGAACTGTGGGTTAAACAAAAGATAAAACAAGCTTCCTTGTTGCAAGTTGTCAATATCTTTCCTGTATCAGCTGTGTCTTTTGGCTCTCCAAGGGAGGGCTCAGCATGTTGTGATCTGAAGGGGGACTATGGAGCATCTCACAAGATAGGGGTTTTGCTGGGAGGTACTTTAGAAAATGCTCCAATAGATGGTAGAAAAGGTCTCTTCTGCTTCTTGTTCACCAGGCATTTTCTTTGTATGAAGATGAAATCAGTGATTCCAAAGCACAGCTGGCTGCCATCACCTTGATCATTGGTACTTTTGAGAGGATGAAGTGCTTCAGTGAAGAGAATCATGAACCTCTGAGGACTCAGTGTGCACTTGCTGCATCCAAACTTCTGAAGAAACCCGATCAGGGCCGAGCTGTGAGCACCTGTGCACATCTCTTCTGGTCTGGCAGAAACACAGACAAAAATGGGGAGGAGGTAAGGAGGGAAGTCATTCCCGACCATGTTCTAGGAAAGGGGATCGTTAGCAGGGAATAGCTGCCATGGCCCTCGTGTACTAGAGGTGAAACGTTTGGAGGAAGAAAGAAACACTGGAGAAAGAAAATTGCTTTGTTTATTAAAAGAAATGAAATGGACAGTAATGTGTAATGTATAGTTACATCCTGTGGTGAAGCCCCACTTTGAGGATATTGTAATACAGCAAGTTTATACCACTGCCTTTAAAAAGTATACATAATAAATATAAAACATTTTACATATAAACATATAAAACAAATTATATTTGTAAAGTATAGCTGTTTGCTTAAAAAAAAAATGAAGAGGATTTAAATTTGTTGTATGCCTTAAGAGCCACTGTAGGGTTATGTTTATTTCTTGTGTGAAGTAGGACATTTTTAATTCAATAATCTCTTCAATACTCCACCCACCCCCCCCACCGCCCAATCCCCTCGCCCTTTTATTCTAGCTTCATGGAGGCAAGAGGGTAATGGAGTGCCTAAAGAAAGCTCTGAAAATAGCAAATCAGTGCATGGACCCCTCTTTACAAGTGCAACTTTTTATAGAAATCCTGAACAGATATATCTATTTTTATGAAAAGGAAAATGATGCGGTAAGTAAACTATAATAAAATATTGTTAGTGAACTAATATTTTCCCTTCCTGCTTTTCAGAGGTTTGATACATAGAAGTTTATCATCTTGATACTTTCTTTTTTGTTTATAAGGGTCAGAGTTTGGAGAATGCACCTACTAGTCTCTTTCATTCCTAGTATCCTTTTCTGTCTATAGATGCATCTCTCTAAGGGAAGAACTCATTATCTGCAAGAAAATTCTCATCTCTTTTGTTCATGAATATTTTATAAAAACAGTCACTGTTGAAAAACACAGAATAATTTACAAATATAGTAGGCTGATTGGTCATCAGGTACAAGTTTAGAATAATTCCTAAATGGGATATCCTTTTAGCAATAATACAGTGTTGGTCAAGATTTATAGGTTAAATAAAATTTTGCTTTTCTTTCATTGGTTCGTGATGCTCTATTTTTTATTTTTTGGGTTTTTTTCCCTTACCGTTTTTGTTTTGTTTTATTTATTGGTGAGTTGCCAGTAGTTGTTGCTCAAACCAGGAATCATGTTTTCATCTCTCTTTTTTTATAATTACTTTGGTGACTCTTGAGAGTAACACAAGATCCTCAAAACATTTTTATTGAATTATATTTTTTATATGGTGCATGCTTGATTATGTAATTGTACTGTACATGTTCTTTTGTAGGTCACAATTCAGGTTTTGAACCAGCTTATCCAAAAGATTCGAGAAGATCTCCCAAATCTTGAGTCCAGTGAAGAAACAGAGCAGATTAACAAACATTTTCATAACACACTGGAGCATTTGCGTTTGAGGCGGGAATCACCAGAATCTGAGGGGCCAATTTATGAAGGTCTCATCCTTTAAAAAGGAAACAGGCTCACCATAATCTTTTCCATGTACATCCAGTGAGGGTTTTATTATACTAGGTTTCCCTTCCATAGATTGTGCCTTTCAGAAATGCTGAGGTAGGTTTCCTGTTCTTACCTGTGATGTGTTTTACCCAGCACCTCCGGACACTCACCTTCAGGACCTTAATAAAGTTATTCACTTCATAAGTGTTCAATCTGTCTGATCACCCCAGGTAGCATGATTGATCTGCTATTTAAAACTCATGTGGTCTATTAAAAAAAAAAAAAAAAAAAAACCACCACTTATCTCAGCTAATAATGAAGCTCTTCTTCCTTTATTCCGTTTTGTTGGTTGTGTAATTTCCTTCATTACTTGGGAATACTAACCTGAAAGTGTGTGTCTCTTTGTTCTCTAGTCCAGTTTGAGATTAATTTAGAGGAAAGGGATACTGTATGTGAAATTCAGCTTGGGCTTTTCCCTAAATGCAAGATAAGGCCATGTGTAATATTTTCCCTAAAACTAGAATATATTAATGCATGTTTGAGAATTTTAAAACACCATGGTCAATACCAAAAGCTATATTTTGCATATTTGGACTCAATCATCCATTAAGAACCTATGTTGTCCTCTGGGCATATTTATCAAAATAATTTTGTTCTAAATAGTATAAAATAGAAAATTTGTGATCGATATAATTTATGTATAACCTTCATTATTGTAAATTTAAGGGGAAATGCATCATACAATTATGATTTTTTTTTTTTTTTTTTGCACCAGTGGAACAATAAAGTTGCTATTAACAATTTTGGACTTTTTACCCTTTCATACTAGATGTGTAGAAGGAGCTAATAGAATGCCTGTGGAGTTTAATAGACTTACGTTACAGCACTTGCTTGTTCTCTCAGTTTAAGCACTTCTTGAGCAAGACACCATCTCCTCTTTGGTTTATACCCATCTGCTTTCCTTGGCCTTATCCTGTTCTCCTAGGCATGGTGTCCACGTAAACTCTCAGAAGGCTCATTTAACAAATTATCCCAAAACTTAGTGTCTTGAAGCAGCAAACTGTTATGTCACGGTTTTCTGGCTTAGGAATTTGGGAGCAGCTTAGCTGGTGGTTCTGGCTCGGCTTGTCTCACGATTCTGGCTGTAGCTATAGCCATCTGAAGGTGTGAGTGAGGCTGGCTTCCAAGCTCATTCACATGCCCGTTACCTGGAGGCCTCTGTTCCTCTCCTTGTAGGCCTTTACAAGGGTAGCTTGAGGGTCCTCATGACATAGCAGCTGGCTTCCCCAGAGTGACCCATACAAGAGAGGGCAAGGAGGCAGCCACATGCCTTTTTATGACCTGACCTTGGAAGTGACATACTGTTGTTTTGCCTTACTCTGTTAGAAGGGAGTCACTAAGTCTAGCTCATGCTCGATGGTAAGAGGAATTCAGCTCCACCTCTTGAAGTGAGAAGTTGCAAATTTATGGGCATTTTCAAATGACCACCTCACTTAATACCTCACCATCTGTCTCCTCCCCCCCCCCCCGCCATTGATAGATGTCTAGCACTTGTTAGATACTATGGTCTGAATGTTTGTGTCCTCCCACCCCCCCCCCAGGCCCCCAAATTCATATTGAAATCCTAACCCCCAAAGATGTTGAGTGGTGGGGCCTTTGGAAGGTGCTTAGGTAGGGTAGAATCTCATGAATGGGATTAGTGTCTTTATAAAAGAGCCCCCAGAGAGTTTGCATGCCCCTTTCTACTTCGTGAGGACACAGAGGTTGGCAGTAAGCAACCTGGGGAAGGGCCCTCACTCAGCCAGGCTAGTGCCTTGCTCTTGGACTTAACAGCTTCTAGAACTGTGAGAAATAAACTTCTGTTATAAGCTACTCGGTCTATGGTATTTTGTTATGGCAGCCTGAACAGGCATCAGGTTTTATGGGAACAAGTGTCTGTAAAGTTATAGAATTGGTACCATTAAAATCAAGTATGCTAAGCTTTTCTGTAGAACCTGATTCTAGCAAACCCTTTCTTTACTTTGCAGGTGTCACTTTGTATAAACCTGATTGTGGAATGGAAGTTGACATGTTCATTTTATGCACATGTTCTGTGAAATACAGCTGGAAGGGTAAAGATGTGACTTGAGAATACTTGAATTTAAGCTTAGAGGTAAAATAATGTTAGTGCAGGGTATAAAGTATATCATATTTTTTTGGTGAAGTGAAGAGACCAGATTTGAGAAACCAAAAATCTAATTTTTTTTTTTTAAACCAGAGCTCTGCTAATCTTAATTTGCAGATATCTTTTTTTTTTAAAGATTTTTTTTAATTTTTTTTTTATTTATTTATTTGAGAGAGAGAATGAGATAGAGAGAGCACATGAGAGGAGGGAGGGTCAGAGGGAGAAGCAGACTCCCCGCTGGGCAGGGAGCCCGATGTGGGACTCGATCCCGGGACTCCAGGATCATGACCTGAGCCGAAGGCAGTCGCTTAACCAACTGAGCCACCCAGGCGC